TTCTTGTCTCTGCAGTAGGGTTCATCAAACAAGAACAACAAGTTAAGACTAAATAGAACAATGTCCACCTGTGTAGAAAGTTATAAAGATGCTCTGTCACTGATTTCCTTGAAAAGCACTGTTTAAGATCATACTGTTGACGTTATTATTATTACTTAGAAAAGATAACAGCCTTACACACCTTTTTTTTCAGTGTTTTCTTTGTACGTAACTGGTGAGATCTGTTGCTCAACATTTATCAATGAATTTACTGTAATAATAGTCTATTTTTATGTGGATATCACGTGCACAATATACATTGGTTGTGAAGTCATTTTTAATTAACAGAAATGTATATTATATAGTTTTGATAACACATGAAAGCTAGTTCAGGAGGTCATTGTTTACTGCCTGTTATATATGATTGTTACATCTTAGCGGATATAAGTGAAATGGCCCGGCATGGCCAGGTGGTTAGGGCACTCGACTCGCAATCTGTGGGTCGCGGGTTCGAATCCCCATCCCACCAAACATGCTCTCCCTTTCAGCCGTGGGGGCATTATAATGTGACGGTCAATCCCACTATTCATTGGTAAAAGAGTAGCCCAAGAGTTGGCGGTGGGTGGTGATGACTAGCTGCCTTCCCTCTAGTCTTACACTGCTAAATTAGGGACGGCTAGTGCAGATAGCCCTCGTGTAGCTTTGCACGAAATTCAAAAACAAACAAAAAAACAATCTCCTCCAATTTCAAAATGTCTAGAAGAATGATTTGTCAATCAGGCTATAATGAAAAAATTTGCTAAAAAATTCCAATTCGTGTTTACCAAATCTTCTTGTATTGTAACATTATTAGAAGTTGAAAGTCCAAATGTTTTGTTTTTTTTGGTTGCTAATATTGTGAATCATGGTAATTATTGTTTTATATTCATTCTCATAACTCAAAGAGTAAAAAAATGTACTAAAACATAAAGCTTTTCAGGAAACGATTCTCAAACCTGTAGATTTATAATGCAACTTATTTTTGTCAGTTGATAATATCCAGCCATTTTGAGGTTTTGCCCTCATAACAAGGGAGATGAATTCAAATAAAAAAACAATGTGCAAGTTGTAATTTACATTGACACTGTAACTGAGGAAAGTCTTTCACACTTGTTTCACATTTGTAACTGCATTTATTAAAATATGAAGAGAGAGGGTAGAAACCTATGTTCTTTAATTGAATGTTCTGTAACCCATGTTATATATGTCTACAGAAGGAAAAAAAACTTACCAGTGGTAGCCCTAAGAATCTTGGCATTTTTATGAATATTCAAGTAGTGTGTGATAATGAGTACTTACGTTTAAATTTTCCGTTTGTCATTCCATGACTTTCATTGAATGAATTCAGAATTTAATAAAATCTGTTGAAAATTAAATAGAAGATTTGGTTATGCAGGATTTTTTTTAATTAAAAAATGTGTGTAGTTAAGAGAAAATAATATATTGAAGGTAGAATATTGTTTGTGATACTGTTTTTTAGTTTATATTAAATTTCCCAATTAGGATATTAGAATAATATTTTTTTGTGGAAAAGCAGTTGTAAAAAAACCTGGATTTTATTTGGACACACTTACCTAAGTTTCTTTGGGTATGAAAATATTCTTGTACATTTTGTTTATGATTGAAAACATCAGCACTATTAAGTATAATTGTTAGGAGTATTTTTTGTTATTATGATGATACTTCTAAATATTATGTATTTGGTATGTAGTGGAAGAAATCAGACAGATGAAGAAACAGGTCAAAGAACTTCGTGAGCAGAATTCATCTTATGTTAAGCTTCTTAATGCAGCTGCCATTCCTCTGAATTCTACTCCTGAAGAAGTTTGGAGCCAGCGACCAGGAAAGTACTCAAATAAGTTCACACCTGAGGAGGCTAGTGCCTTAATTGATGTGTTTCAAAAAAAGAAAAGCTTGAATGGTTCACTGAAACATAATGCTAAAGTGAACTCATCAGTTGGCCAAAACAGTACTAATAAAGCTCAAAGGGTAGAGAATGGTGCTTTAAACAACAGTTCTTCAGCCTCTGATGTTGAAACAATGATTATGTCAATTCCACAAAGAAATCTCAACGTTGAGTGTGCTGGTGACTCAGAGTCAGATCAGTTAGAGGATGATGATTGTAGTCGCATGGCTTTGAATATAACTTCAAATCCACCCGAAAGTGCACTACCTAAAACCGGATTTAATTCTAGTTTGAACTCTTCAGTCCAAAACAGTGTGGGTGTAACTCAATCACAATCTTCAAATACAAAGAACTCTGACATTTGCAGACAAAATTTGTCTTTTATTAGTGTGAAATCTACCACTACACAACAATGTTCCACACTAGCTTCAGTGACTAATCGTACCATCTCAGGTGTCACTGGCAACTTTTCATGCAACTGAAGGTGTGAAGACTGTTGATTCATGTAATGTCCGCTTGGTTCCTCAACAACAAGTCATTGTTGTTAGTGGCCAAAATATACCATTGTTACAAAACAATATTTCTAATGGCTCATTAAATACAAATAGCTTTAGGGTTGCTTCTTGTCAAGGTGACTTAAAAGTGCAAACAACAGTACCAGCTGGTTTGTTAAACAAATGTGTTACTAGTGAAGCAGTTCGTAGTGAAACATCTTCCCATCAAGCTTCATCTGAGATGTTGGCTCTACCAGTGCCTACTGCATCTGTGATTAGTACAAGTGTTCTTGGAAGAGGAGTTCCTTCTGCTACTGTTGCTCCATCTCTTGTAACCTCTTCTTGTAAAGAGATCCGTCCACAAAACCATGGTTCAGCAGTTTGCCCATCTCAAGTGCTTTTTGGCTCTTCTGTTCTGAATACTCCACAAGTTCCGGGAAGTTGCATGAATGGATATATTTCAAACTTCAATCCTACTTTAGCTACTTTGCCACCAGCTCTTCAGCATGTTTCCCAAACCAGTGGTACAATAATAACTCCAACAGGTCTCTTGCAGACACCCTCAGAAGTATCAGCTCAGACAGCAACATATCCTTGTGGAATTTTAAACCAACCTATTGTTCAACCCAGTGGTATCATTACAGGTCAGCAGTTAATTCTTAACCAGCAGGGCCAGGTAATATCCTTTAGTGGAAATCCACTTCTAACAGCAACAGGGGTCCAACCACAGAATGCTTTACCATCTGCTCTACTTCTTCCAAACGGACAGATTATTCCAGTTGTCAGCCAGCCATCTGTTGTGTATGCAAATCCCTCTGGTGGAGTAAATAGCAATTTCATTTTGCCTCCATCTGCCACACAAACAAACATGCCTGTTGCACCAATTATAAGTACAGGGATGCCTTCTCATGGAAATGATGTGATTACAAACAATATGTTTTGTAACACATCAGGAACTTCATGTAGCAACATAACACAAAAAACTATGTTCCAAGTTGATCTTGAACAACCTGTTTCCAGTTCAAACATTTCTGGATCTTCATTTCAGGAAGTTCCTGAGAAGAGTAGTCATTCAACGAGTAATAGTAAAAATAGTAAAGGAAAAGGACACCTTGGTGCCTCTCATGAGAGCATGTCAGAGAAAATAGCTACAACTAAAACACACACAAAAAAACCTAAGAATACATCATCAATAAGTGGAGATAAAAATGGAGTACCTGAAGTTCAGGCTTCAAAAACTTCAAAAAGTAGCACTGGAACTTGTAAAGTCTCCCAAAGACCCATTAAACCCAAACCATCTCCAAAACAGATAAATTCGAGTGTTTGTAGGTCTGGCCACAAAAAGACTGCTACAGCTAATTCACAAAGAATACCTGCTGTAAGTTCCAATACTATTCCATTGACACATGAAACAGCTTGTGCTAATAATTGTTTGACCAGTCTGTTGGATTCTAGGTGTTCTCAAGAAGGTTTGACATCATCAGTTACTAACAGTAGACAACCTCAGCCTGCCTATGACAATGAGGATGTTCCAAACTGTACATCTGAGAAGAATACCCTTCTTGGCTTATCTGAGTCCCAGCCACTCTCCTCTTGTTCAGACTTATCGGAATCACATTCAAACAGAACAACAGACATTTTGGCAAAGGCTACAGAATCTATATTTTCAAATACCATGGGAGAGCTATCACAGGTTATTCCAGATTTTAACGACTCAACATCTTTAGGTGATGCAGAAGAAGAAGCTACAAGACAGCTGAAAAAAAGAAATGAAATTACTACTTGCAATGTGGAAAGTTCCTCAAATAGTCCAGTAGAACAGCAAAGTCATTGTTCTGAACCTAGGAAGGATGTTCAGAAATCCTGCAAAAACCGAAAGACAGCTCAAAGTGTTTTCAGTTCAGTGAAAGAAAATGTTTTAGAACAGGGCTTAACTGCTACTAAAAGTGATTCTAACATTATAAATGAAAGTAATCTTGAATCTAGAAAAGCAAAAACTTTAAAAAATGCTTCAAATGATAATGGAAAAAGAGCTGTAAATGAAAGTCCCACTGGTGGAGACCTTTTTTCAGTGAATCAGAATACTCCACCCTTAAAAAGGTTAAGATCTCAAAATGATCTTGGAACAGAAATAACTGCTATTCAGGTAAGTCATACAAATTCAGTTGTTTCTCTCACTGAGAAGGTTACTACATGCATTTCCAGTGGGAGATCAGATGAGTTTGGACAGAAATCAAGGAGTACTGTGCTTGGTAGTAGCACAAAAAGGCAGGAAGTGCCAATAAATTCAAGCCTTCATAATATTGAAAAGAAGTCAGAAAGTGAAGCTTCTACAGTAAATGATAAAGATGTTCCACCTAGTTCTTTCTGTACTGTTCCAGAAGTTGACAAATGCTCAAGTACAGTTAATGACATAACAGAAATTAGTTGTGTTGGAAATCAAGAAAATTCCTCTGAACTGCCTTCTTTGTTGTTAGGAGGTATGACAGAGGACAGTGATGTTCCTTCTTCACTAAATGGTGGATCAAACCCGAGTTTGCCTTTTTTGAGTCTATCACCACCTGAACATTTTGGTTTGGACTTGCATGGTAAAGATGCTTCTGATCACAACCACAACATGTTTAATTTACAGAACATATTATCTTCAACAGATCAAAATTCTAGAAATGATCCTGAAAGAGGTGAACATGTTTCATCAAAAATGCTAACTGAAACAAACAAAAGGCAAAAGGATCTACCACAGCCTTTGCAAAACCCATTAAATAATCATAACACCTCCATGAGAAGTTCAGGAATAGGAGGGTGCTCTATGCCAAATGAACAGTTTAGCTCTGTACAACAACTTGAAGTATCATCAAGTACATCCAATACTTTTTATCCACCCACCCAACTAAAGTATACTTCAGGGTCACAGTTAAATGCTTCAATATCTTCACATTCTTTCCCAGCAAACAGTGGTATAGCAACAGAAAAATCTCCAAATATTTTTTCAGCATCTTCTGACATGTCTGCATCACAAAAGAATATTATAACCCCTATGTCTCAGATTAGTTACCAAGGGTCTGCTTCACCTCCATTGTTATCTAGAAGTTATGGATCACATCATAGTTCCAATTCTGTGGGAGGCCTCAGCTCTCCTTCTTCACTTCCTCAAACACTTTCAGTTAACAATAATTCTGCTTCTAAAGATCAGCATATTCAACCAAAACTTCTTTCTCCTTGTGCTTCAGGTAACTCGCATATGCAACAAAATCAAAATCCATCAAATAGGTTTAGGCAAAGATCAGAAAGAAGGCTTTCAGTATCAAAACCTACTTCTCGCCAAGCGGCTCAAGTGTCCTCTGTTTCCAACATTGTTCCATCTCCTGTTCCTCGAACACTGATTCCATCTCCTCCAACCACAAGCATTTCCAACAGTTCTTTTGCAAATAGGTCAGTTGCATTGCAAGGAAGCCCCTCACTGTCTCGCTATTCAGCAGAAGCTCTGATTGGAAGTGCTTCACCAGTACCTTCAAGTTCTGTAATGTCTGTCTCATCGGGATCATCATTTACATCATCAAGTAAATCAAACACTCAAGTCCCCAGTTCACAAACACATGTTCAGAAGACTTCTGCAGAGCAGTGTATGACAACAACCCTTTCTTACTCTGCTGAGAGTCTTATACAGACACAGTCTTCTGGAGATAAAAGACAAGACAATCAACCAAGAAACTCAAACCACTTACACCAAAATGGGCAAATGAACAATAGTCATATGTTTCAAGCTTCTCAGCAGCATGCATACATAAAGTCTTTTGTGTCAGCTCCATCCCGAGAAAATTCAAATACATTTTTATTTAGTGTGCCCTCAGAGATTCGTCACGAGTGCCCCCCTCTCTTACAAGTTCCATCATCATCTTCACAATCTGCTTCACCAAGGTTTGCATCTAATTTTATATTTCAAGGGAACTCATCTAATGTTCATCCTAACAACATTGCTAATGGAATGACACAACATGATATGAGAAATTGCAGTTTAGGAGCAAATCCACAGTGCTTCCTTCCTCAACATCCCTCTTCTTTGTCATCAGACCCCACTTCTACCTCAAATCCACCACAACCTGCAGGAGGTGGTCCACCTCCAATACCTCCTCAGCCATATCCAGAGTTTGCACTTAGTTTAGGAAATGGGGATGGTAATGTTGTTATGAACCCACCTTACCACAGACCTATGACTAATAGTCACAACTTTAATACATCCTTTTCAACTTGCTTGCAGAACTTGCCAGGAAATAACCTTACAAGTAATATCTCCCATCAAAACCAAAGAGACAACTTCTTGGCCAATTCCAATGCACCATCAGGCCATTCTGGACCATTTTTTCAAGTGCCAGATACTAATTTTCCAGTGCTGACAAACCCATCATCATTATCAGATCAGTCTCGTGCTAGTAACAACCTTGGCAGAACTTCTTTTTTAGGAAATTGTCCACAGTCATCACAAAATCATTTGGTCAATAATTTTTTCCCTGGACATTTCATACCAGGTATAAGTGACCAGAAGAATGAACCATTACCTCAGAGGGGAGCTCACAGACTTCCCTCTGTCAATGATATGAGCAAGCCAACATCTCGAGAGCCTAGAAATTCATCACATTCACGAACTTTAGGCCCTGGACAAAACAAACAAAATTCATCCAAAAATAACAAAGGTTCAAGAAAAAATAAGAATCAGTCTTCAGCAGAAAATCCATCTCAGCACACACACCCTGTTTTTGATGGTAACCGTAATGTGAATGTTGCATCCTGTCTTCCAACTCCTGAGTTACCAAATCCTAGAAATGATGTAACACCTTGTGCCAACAGTCGGTGCTTTGGTGTTTCACAAAAAGCCAGTGCACCATCCACTCCATCTTTACCAGGACAGTCTCCAAAAAATATCTCGAACAGTCAACATATTGGGACAGACATTGGAAATGCTTTGTTCAGGTCACAAGTACACAATTCTTTAAACCAAAGCTCAGATTTTAGCACAGCTTCACTACATCGATTGTCTTCTTCTGCAGTTACCGTTACTTCTTCGATCACTTTAGGTTCCCACAACAGCAGTATATGCAGCCATCATGTTCCTAACTTTAATTTGAGCAATATTATTCCTGACATCAATACATCGTCTGCAGAAAATGTTCGACTTTCTCCAATCAAATTTAACCCTTCGGGTCATATTATTCCTCCTCCTCCTCCTGCACAAACTCAAGTGCAACCAGCCAATAATATGAATGGCCTGGGGCATGCTGGTCATCACCAAAACAATCACGCGCCTCCTCCTCTGTACCATGGGAGGACCCATCCGTCTGTAATACACAATAGTATGAGCTTTAATACATTTTTGGGACACAACACTCATGGTTTTGATGGGCGGCCACCTGCACAGATGCCTGTAGGAATAAACAGTACAGTGGCTCCTCCTCCTCCACATTTTGCTCCAACCCCTGGCCATACACCGTCCTTTGGAAATGCAATTCACAGTTTAAATTTCTCCATGCATGACCAGTGATGAATCATTATTATGTTGTTATGTTTATGTGCAAAATATTTATATGTGTTTGCATTGAAATAATTATAATTGATAGAAAATTGGCAGGAAGTTCCAAATTTATAAAGGAAAGACTGCTTTGGTATATATACCTTGAAAAACATTTTTCCAGGTATACTGTGGACATGAACTGTGTAAGATATTGTACATATATAATTTAGTGCTAATGTTTGTTCATCTTCAGCACCAGTTTATTTTAGTTACTATGTGTGTGTAATCAATCACAAATGTCTTTTAGGATTATCTAACGATAATTTAAATTTCATGTATAAATGGTTTATCTTATATGATGAACTGTACAAAATATTTTATAGAAATTTTCTACTTCAAGTTTTATTTTAGTACTACAGAGAATAATGTAGTATATGTTTTGTGTAAGTAAAACTTATTTAACTGTCTTTACAAATATTAAGCTCGTGTATAGAACTTAAAAGAGCTTCAACTTATTTCTGTAATATGGAAAAGTCATTTGTACAGAAAAAATTAACATGTACAATGAATGCTTTGTAGACATCTTTTGCCAATTCAAAGAACAATATTAATGATAAAAAGTTCTAATACATATGTCAATGTTTTATGTACAACTTTTAATGATATTATTTTAGTTGTTGGCTCTAAACTTGAAGATTTACCAGCTTGAGTTATGTCTATTAAAATTGACCATTTTTGAACAAAAAAAGAAAATGTAACTTAATGTATATTATTTTAGTTCAAGTCTGTTTTTGTGTCAACTTCGATGGGAAACCCATTCATTTGTATATACTTCCTTTCATTTATACACATTTAGCATCACATATTTTACTTTATGTTCCGGTCCACGTTAAGATGTAAAATTCGACAAAGCTCAGCAAATGTGTCAACGTTGGTACAGTGGATACAGCTGTAAATATGTTTACCACGTGCTTATCATATGGTCTTTGTTCATGATCATCTCTGTGTAAAAATTACAATAAACTTGTATTTTCATTCTGAATTAGCTTTCCTCATGAACATCGTTATTGTTTTCAGTGGTACTTTGTGCTTTAAGCTGCCTTTACTGTGAAAGTCAAGTGTAATTATTTAACCAATAAACTGAAGGTTGTGAATGCTTTGCTTTATGGGTGGAGTAATGATTTTTTTTTTCTTTGTTTTTGAATCTTGGTGCTCTCCGCCTGGATTGACTTTCAGGATTCGTAGCTTTTCATATATCGGTTTTCCTCTCGATAGTTTGTTTTATTGGTGTAAGTGAAACAAACGAAAGGACCAAATATTTGGAGCTGCAGTTTGAAAGTATATTTTGAAACTGTCTTAAAAATCGAAAATATGTTGATAAACAAGATCAAAACACGGCCAATTTCGTCAGCAGATTAAGTTTTTTGAGTGTAAAATTTTGATGCTATAGAGTGTTGCAAGGAATGGTATTACTCACGGTTTGATTAGATAGACGCTGTTGAAGTATTGTGTTTATAAGGCTTTTTCTGAATACAAAAGTTTACTGATTTAATTTTGATATATCTAATAGTTTATAACTACCAAACATGAAATTGTGAATTATCTTTGTTTCTGGGAGTGGTATATAAATGTTTCGACAGAAGTTTGGCAAAACTAACTGCGTCAACTCAGTGTGTTATTATTTAAGAATATTTTCAGGTCATAACATCCGTAACTTTGATGTCTTGCAATACTTGCGAAACGCTTCGTTTGTCTGTTAGCGAGTTCTTTTAAATAGAGCCTAGATTTAAGACCTAACACGAGCACAAGGAAAAACGTCAAGATCACATGTTGCCAAGAAAAATTCATATACTACGTGGAATCTTTCGTTTCCAAGATACGTTCACAAGCTGAATTACCTACGAGTAAAATGACTTCAAACCTTATCTTCCCCTTTAAAGTAAAATTTATTTTGTGAATGAAATTATTAAGTTCTTGAAACTGGAAGTTGTTTTGGGCTAATGTTAAAGATTTCGGCAAAAATATCCTAGTTGCTTTGCGCCATTAAACTTTAACAAAGTTTCATATTCAGAAAAAAATTAAGCTATGCTCAGAGTTTTTTCAGAAAAAATATTTCAATTATAAACAAAGTATGCATTTTTGTGATAACCAAATACATATTAATAGAAATTGTGTAGTGTTGTCAATGTATTGGGTAAATTAAGTACAAATCCTGACACTTATTTTAGGCTAAAGTGATTTAGTGAGAAACTAATTTTCTAACTTCCAAGTGACAAAATGCATTAAGATGTAGCTTTTCGACTTTACCCTGAGAGAGTATCAAAGAACTGTTAATAAGGGCAAATTTTATCATTTTTTATTTTGTATCATATGGAAGAATTCCTATCTTTCAAAAGGCAAAACACATGCTAAATTTGTATACTTGAATTTAGCTATTATTGGATTTTTCTCCAAGTTGCTGCAAACGGATGAAATTGAACAAATTAATTTTTGCTACGTATACATAACAGTTGTTTATTTAGTTCTCTTATACAGGTATGTGTGTGTGTATATTCATTTACAGAAATACTGTTTGAGACAATTTAAATTTATCCAAAAATAACGATAAAAGACAGGGCATGGCCGTGTTGCGGTTCGAGACATGGTGCCATTAATTAATTTCCGCACTTTCGGCATTTTATTTCGTTCAAGAAGCTAGACGAACCCTTGTGGCGGCAGATACTATTAGTTGCACACACACACACTGACCAGTATCTGATAATTAAGAAAGTCTGTACTTGTACCCTGGCCATTTCGTCCATGTACACAAATTTCGTAGACCAGTAACTAAAAGTATAACAGAAGTAGTGGTGTTTGTTAGAATCGCTATAGGAGAAAGGTGTACCGTTAGCTCAGCGGTAAGCTTGAAGGCTTATAACGATAATATTTGAGGTTCGATTCATATGTTGGACTCAAAAAACAGGTGAAACATTCTGCAGCTTTGAGCCAATACCTCGCCAGAGCTACTGGAGAGTAGTTAAGCCTACATTAGAGTATTCCGTACGTTTTGTTGCTGGTAAGTTTAAGAATCGGTTTTAATGTAAACAGTTGTCATTTGTTTTGTTATTGTTTGTTTTCAGTTGTAATAATATAATCCAATCATTCTATATGAAAACAATATTCACATTTATAAAAGTTATGGTATTAATATCAAAAGCTAGCGAAGCATTAGAAACCAATAGGCCTAAAATATGTAATGAAAATCACGTTAACTGTAGGCGCTTTCCACCTCCGTTGCAGGTTCAAAATCAGAGGTATGTGAAAAAGCATTTCGTATCTATCACAAATTGTAGGCCTATGAATCTTTGTTTCACAACACAGACCACAAAAGGATAATATTACCATCCTACTTAATGAGAACTAGTTATATGTATATATATCTATATTACCCCTTCTTTTTTATTTTAATAAACCTGAATTAACACTAGTTCTAGCCTTTGAATTCACTGCAATACAGTCGTTAATTACAGCAGTTTGAAACATTTTGAACTCTTATAGTAACCAGTTAAATGTAGGCCTATGTACTTTTGTGGGCTCTTGGCTATTCTAAGTTCTAGTATTAGTGTGTAAGGCCTGCTGTATATATCAGAAATATTACGATGTCTGTGGTTCATATAATTGGTAATAACTTTATACTATGACTCTATTTAGTTTTATAAATGGTGTACCGTCGTGTCATTGAGAAGCTTCTATACATGTAAATATGGGCCATAGGCTCACAGGTTCGCTAGTTTTGTAATATGTATAATACAGTTTAAACTTTAAAATAAAATTGAACGAGAGCGTTTAACATTCGTATTTAATGGGATAATTACAATAATTGTGCAGTTGGAAGAAATAAATCAAGGTTTTCATGGAACTGTTGATGTATTGAGTCTTTCTAGAAACGGATTTTTTTTCACTTAAGATAGCAAAGGTGGATTCCAATATGAATGAACATATAGAAATAAGTTATTGATGGATTGTTCTAAAATTAATGTATGAAGCTGTCAAAAGCAGCTATCTGTAGTTTAAAGAATGGTGAAAATTCAAGGAGTGGAGATAAATGGTGAAGAAAGTTTAATTTTGTCGACGAGAACACAAGCTTTGCTCTACCAGATGGAATTCTTAAAGCGCTTGCAAAAAATGGTGTTCGAAAATTGCCGAAATTGGGGGTGTGATAATGATGCAAATCTTAGATGCTAACACAATGGTGTGTAATCTAGATTGTTGCAATTCCAAAAAACTGTAATTTTTGTTCCATGTGGTTATTATTATCCGATTGTTAGATTTGTGTGATGCTGCAAATCATTTAAACTTTTCAATTCCATTGCTCGGTTTCCTTGAAAGAAAGTATACAGTTTTTTCAGCATGAACAAATTGACTATTTTAAAGTCCTTTGTCAATATCACCTGTACCTCTTTCTGACACTAGATGGCAGTGTTTAACAGATAGGCTATTTTGACATTATTTCTGACACTAGATGGCAGTGTAAAATTGAAAGTTTTGTGAAACTGTAAAAAATCATTTCACTAGTCAAATACCTTATTTTCGGTCTCCTTTAAAGAATGTATACTATTTTTGCAGCAGTAATTAGCAGATTGGCTATTTTTAGTTCATTTACCAATATTACTCGTACCTCTTTCTAACACTAAATGGCAGAGTAAAATTGAAAGTATATTGGCAGCATTAATGAAATTAAAGGAAACTACAATGCATATGATAGCCCATCCGAAAGCTAGACCATCAGCAAATAAGCTGGCATCATATATATTTTTAATTTCTTTGGTAGATTGATATGATGTTTCTTGTAACTTGGTCAATGACGTACAGCACTTTTCTTCATTATAGAGAAAATGACTTTATAGGTGCCATGACAAGTGCTAGAGAACCGGAAAAAGAATTATCAAATGTACCAAGATTACTGGAGACTCTCGTTAGACGAACTGTCTTGCTCGTTACGAATCTGAATATGAGCTAAGTATTATTAAACAAAATGATTGAAAACTGAATTTTTAACATCGTAGTAAACTACGTTGTTATGAAGTTGAGAGACAGTCTTGAGTTGTTACGTGATTAAGCGTAATTTTCATATTCCTGTATAACATTAAACCAATTCAAAACGTAGAACACGATGAACTTGTAAGATCATTCATAGATGCAGCTGTAGCACTACCCACCTCCAAGGTATCGCAAGTCAGCTGTTGACAGAACTGAGTTATCAGTTGAATTTCAAACTCTAGTACAATTCTTTTAGACATTTAATGCTTTGGAAACGTTCAATTTATTTACAAAAATTATTGAGTAGCGGTTTGTCCCAATATGTGCGGTGTTTTCAGGGTGCTGTTTATATCTCCATTAATTGCTTCAAAGTTTAAATGAGTTAAAACAACTGAAATCACCCTTCCTTATCTCTGGAGCGTGTTACAGGGTTGGCTACGCTCGTCATCAAAGAGGATGTTATAAGTTGGCCAAATTTTCAGAAAGTTGAATTTCTAACAAGAGAAATTAAAGAAGTTGATGTCACACTTTAATAATTATATAAAAGGAATAAAATGCAGAAATATACATCTGAAAGTATATAAGATAAATAAGAAGTTTACATTTAAATACCTTTCACGGTGTCCAGAATTGTATTGCGAAGTCTCTCACTGATGTTATTAAATGATGCCAATCACATTCCTCAGTTCTATTTTGATCGAATTAGGCGTTTCATTATCCATCATATGGTTTTAAAAGCAAATTATTGGTATTTCAGCTGATTCTTGTAAATGAATGTTTGATAGAGGTGGATCTTTGCAACTTATGGCATTTCACTACAATATGGAGTACAGTTACTGTGAATAGCAAGGACAACTTGGTACTCATATTGAGTGATTAGAATAAATGTATGGGTATCTTCGATCCTTCCCAGAAAGAGCTGTTTCGAGGTCACCTTTAGTGTTTAGAGTCACCTGATCTTCGACACTCCCAGAGACAATTTCAAGACTTTTTAGAGTCTGGATGCACTTGACGAGATGCGACACGTCTTCCAAAAGCACCCCATACATGCCACGTGTAACTGGAGTTGAGCTATAATGCGAACTCCACTTAATTAGTCCTCTCTTCATCAAGAAATATGTCAGTCAATTTAACAAACTGAA